AGCTTCCCAAGTAGCTGGGACTACAGGCACGTGCCACGATGCCTGGCTAATTTTTGTACTTTTAGTAGAGACGGGGTTTCACCATGTTGGCCAGGCTGGTCTCAAACTCCTGACCTCAGGTGATGTGCCCTCCTCGGCCTCCCAGAACGCTGGAATTACAGGCGTGAGTCACTGAGCCCGGACTTTATAAAAAACTTTACAATTAGCCAGGCATGGTCGTATGCACCTGGCTATGGCAGAGTATTGCTGGATTTTCCAATGCCTCTTGCTCCTAAATACGGTCACAAGACTGGGTTCTGGACAGTAAATATACCAGGGGTTAGTTTCCCAGTGTCTTCCTTAAAGGTAGCCAGGTCACTCTTCTTCATCCCATTCTCCTGTCTGCTAGCTGCAATGTAACTCCTGGAACCGAAGCAGCTGCTTGGGCCTTAAGGGAATATTCACAATGGAAGTCATGCTCATGAGCCACAAGACGGAAGCATCTGGGTCCCTGAGAGCTTCATGGAGCAGAGCTGCCACACCTTCCCTGGACTACCTACCCTCCAGACATTTATAGGAGAGAGAAGGAAATTTCTCTTATATAAGCCACTGCTATTTGGGATCTGTTAAAGCCAAACTTCATCTTAACTGCCACAAACACATTCAAGTATTTTATTTAGAAATACAGATGCAAGGTCAGGTGTGGTGGCTCACACCTGTAATCCCAGCACTTTGGGAGGCTGAGGCAGGTGGATCATGAAGTCAGGAGATCAAGACCCTCCCTGGCTAACACGGTGAAACTCCATCTCTATTGTGCCACTGTACTCCAGCCTGGGCGACAGGGCAGAGAGCGAGACTTTGTCTCAAAAAAAAGAAATACAGATTCAAAGAAAAAAGAAATACAGATGCAAATGGTAGAATAAAAAGATGAGGCCGGGCGCAGTGGCTCACACCTGTAATCCCAGCACTTTGGGAGACCAAGGTGGGCAGATCACATGGTCAGGAGATCCAGACCATCCTGGCTAACATGGTGAAACCCCATCTCTACTAAAAATACAAAAATTAGCTGGGCGTGGTGGCGGCGCCTGTAATCCCAGCTACTTGGGAGGCACAGTGAGGCAGGAGAATGGCATGAACCTGGGAGGCGGAGCTTGCAGTGAGCCGAGATTGCGCCACTGCCCTCCAGCCTACGCGACAGAGCAAGACTCCGTCTGAAAAAAAAAAAAGACGAAGAGTTGGCATCTAGGAAGATCTAGGAAGTTGCACTTGGGAATGAGCAGAAGAGGCCCAAAGGACTTCTGTTTCTGCTTTAAACCTTGTACTACAATTTTATATTTTAAGCTATGCACATAAAATATACGTAATTGTAAAAAAGAAAAAAATAGGCCAAGTGCAGTGGCTCATGCCTGTAATCCCAACACATTGGGAGGCCGAGGCAGGCCGATCATATGAAGTTAGGAGCTCAAGACCAGCCTGGCCAACATGGTGAAACCCAGCTCTACTAAAAATACAAAAATCAGCCAGGCGTGGTGGCACATGCCTGTAGACCCAACGACTTGGGAGGGCGAGGCAGGAGAATCACTTTAACCCACGAGGCAGAGGCTGCAGTGAGCCGAGATTGCTCCAAAAAAAAAAAAAAAAAAAAGAAAAGCAAAGCCGGGCGCAGTGGCTCATGCCTGTAATCCCAGCACTTTGGGAGGCCAAGGTGGGAGGATCACCTGAGGTCCGGAGTTCAAGACCAGCCTAACCAACACGGAAAAAGCCTGTCTCTACTAAAAATACAAAATTAGCCAGGAGAGGTGGCACATGCCTGTAATCCAAGCTACTCAGGAGGCTGAGGTGGGAGAATCGCTTGAACCCGGGAGGCAGAGGTGGCGGTGAGCTAAGATTACGCCACTGCACTCCAGCCTGGGCAACAAGAATGAAACTCCATCTCAAACTCCATCTCAAAAAAAAGAAAAAGAAAAAGAAAAAATAAGCAACCATCAGAGCAAGAAGTGGTCAGAGCAGGGATGATCTGGAGGGCCGACCCAGAAGTAAGGGAGACTTCTTCTGGGGAAGGTGAGCAAAGCAACAGTGGTGGGGGTGGCACCAGTGTTGGGTGCGGAGGAGAAATGAACGGAAACCCGTGAGAGTGGGCAGCTGGTCTGGGGCTATCCTGTTGGAAGCCAGGCAGAGGCCTCGTTGTCACTGACTTCAGCCATTTAGAGACCCATTCAGGGTTCTCCATCCTGCCCAAGACCACTGTTTTGAGCTAGGGTTCCCAGAGGACTTTCCAGTGGGAACAGAAGCCTGATCTGGGCCTTCCAACAGCCATTCAGTTTTCATTCTGGCTTCATTTTTCTTTCTTTCTTTTTTTTTTTTTTTTTGAGATAGGGTCTCACTCTGGCACCCAGGCAGGAGTGCAACAGTGCAATCACGGCTCACTGCAGCCTTGACATCTTGGCCTCAAGCGATCTTTCTGCCTCAGCCTCCCCAGTAGCTGGGACTACAGGCTAGCACCACCACACCCGGCTAATTTTTTTTAATTTTTACTAGAGGTGGTGTCTCGCTTTGTTGCCCAGGCTGTTTTCAAACTGCTGGCCTCAAGTGATCCTCCCACCTTGGCCTCCCAAAGTGCTGGAATCACAGGCTTGAGTGAGCCACCATGCCTGGCCCCTGCTTCATTTTTCCAGATGCCCCCTCTTCCATCCAAAAGTCATCGTGGCCCCATGCCACCTGCTCGGTCCTTCCCACGTGGTGCTGAACAGTTTCTGTTATGTTCTGCAACCCCAGTCACTCACGAAGATCAAGCCATTTCTAGTGACCCTCTGCCGGGCTGGGGGGCCTTTCCTAGGGGAGTGGTCTCCGGCACTCTGCCTCTCCTAGGAGCTCTCCAGGCTGCGTTGCAGAGCCGGTATCTGTGAGTTCACATTCCCTGCACCCCAGATGACGGGCTGGGACCAGACCTGCCCAGCCCACACCAGGCACACAGAAGGCCCGGCATGTGTCTGCTGCACGAATGAGTGAGTGAATGAGGGAAAGAGGGGATGACTGAGCATCCTTCAGTCAAAGTGGGCAGCCTGGTGCTCAGGCACCTGCTGGGGTACAGCTTGTGGGGTGCTCCCCGTCTGCTCTGGGGGGACGTTCTACCCCACCCAGACTCGCCCTTTCCAAACTCTCCAAGATTCCCACTCCCACAGCTGCTCACCGCCAGGGGCCCCACCCTCCACACTCCCTCACAGGCTTCTCCTCAGGGCCCCCATCCCTGGGAGCCCAGGAAGGAAGAAAGCAGTGTCCACGTGACGAAGCCCCAAGTGGCCATCCCCCTCCGCGGCCTGGCAGGAACCCCAAGGTTTCCGTGCCGGCCCCTTGCCTCAGCCTCAGGTACGGGGCCGAACCTGACGGGCTCCTTACCGTACATCTTGCCCTCGTCCGACAGGATAATTTTACGGCGGCCACAGGGCGGGTAGATGGCCAGGGCCTCCTGGAAACTCTGCTCAATGTCCGGGCTCCACACGCCCTCTGCATCATTGTCGATGGGCTTGTCCAGCGCCTGACTGCCCCCAGAGACGTTGCTCCCCTCAGGGGAGTTGGGAGAGCTCCACTCGTTGGAGGTAATGGTGCCGGCCTTGCCCTCCAAGGCTCTGCTTGGAGGGGCGCCCGTTGGACCTGTGGGGACAGGAACCGCAGCCCCGGTGAGAAGTGAAGAACTGTGTGGGTCATAGGATGAGGGCACTCCAGGGAGTGCCAGAGCCCAAATCAGCTGCTCAGGAAGCAAAGCGTCAAGTGACAGGTCTGTGAGAATCAGGCCTGGGGACTTGAACAGGTCATTTCTCCTCTGGAGAGCTCGTCTTCCCATCTGTCGAATGAGCACAATGACCTAGGCACTCCCTGACATCAAGGTTCTAGGAACCCAGGCAAGGGCTGAGAAGTAGGAGACAAGGACGCAGTGCCAGGGATGCACTGACATTAAATCAACACTGGGCAAAAAGCATGCAAAATACTGGGGACTATTGATGGGAATGCAAAATTGTGCAGGCCAGGCGCTGGGGGTCACGCCTGTAATCCCAGCACTCTGAGAGGCTGGGACAGGTGGATCACTTGAGGTCAGGAGCTCAAGACCAGCCTGGCCAACATGGTGAAACCCCATTTCTACTAAAAATACAAAGATTAGCCAGGTGTGGTGGCAGGCACCTGTAATCTCAGCTACTCGGGAGGCTGAGGCAGGAGAATCGCTTGAATCCGGGAAGCAGAGGTTGCAGTGAGCCGAGATCCCGCCATGACACTCCAGCCTGGGCGACAGAGCGAGACCATATGACCCAACATCTGGGTATATACCCAAAAACAGGGAAAGCAGGGTCTCAAAGAGATATGTGCACACTCACGTTCATGGTGGCATTATTCACAAGAGCCAAAAGGTAGAAACAACCCACATGTCCATCAATGGATGAATGGATGAACGAAATGGGTCTATACTTACAGCAACATGTAAGCTTTAAAAAGGAAGGCAACCTGGACACGTGCTGCAGCACAGCACTCTGTCTGGGGGCACAGTCTCCTGATTAGGACATTACGCTGAGTGAAATACACCAGTTACAAAACAACCCAAACACGACATGGTTCCACTGACGAGGTATCTAAAGCAGCCATATTAGGCCAGGCACAGTGGCTCATGCCTACAATCCCAGCACTTTGGGAGGCTGAGGCAGGAGGATCCCTTGAGCGCAGGAGTTTCAGACCAGTCTAGTCAATATAGGGGGACCCCATCTCTACAAAAAATTAATTAAAAAAAAAATTATCCAGGTGTGCTGGCTCACACCTACAGTCCCAGCTACTCCAGAGGGTGAGCGGGGAGAATCACTTGAGCCTGGGAAGTCAAGGCTGCAGTGAGCCATGATTGCGCCACCGCACTCTAGCCTGGGTGACAGAGCAAGGCTGTCTCAAAATAAATAAATACAATACAATAAAAATAAAGTAGTTGGCAGGGTGCAGTGGCTCCCAGCACTTAGGGAGGCTGAGGCAGGAAGATCATTTGAGTCCAGGAGTCAGCAAGACTTCATCTTTACTAAAAATGTTAAAAAAAAAAAATGTTTTTAAGCGGTCAAACTAATAGAAACGGAGTAAATGGTGGTTACCAGGGGCTGGTGGGAGAAAGAAACAGAGACTTGTGACTTGAGGGGTAGAGTTTCGGTTTTGCACGATGAAGAAGTTCAGGAGATCTGCCGCACAGCAACGTGAATATACTTAACACTACCAACCTGGATACTTAAAAAGGGTTAGGATGGTAAATTTTGTGGTCTTTTTTACCACAATGAAAAATTTTTTAAATGCATATACAATATAATATAGGTCACTGTTCTCCTGTTCCTTTCCCGACTCAGGCTCTGTCTAAAAGAAACAGTCTGGGCAGCTCCTCACACACTGGTGCAATGGCAGGATTGACTTTCTGGTGCCTCATGGCCACAATCCCGCCTTCCCCTAACATGAAACAAATCCAGTGACCTCTCGGCTCCAACCATCCAAGCTGTAAGCTTCCAGACACAGTTCTCAGGGGTTTATGAAAGAGCAGGACATATTAGTCATCCTAAGGCAGTTTTTGGGTTATGAGTACCAGGTGGGAACCACGTACCTCCCACAGCCCTCCCAGAGCCCCCAACTTCTCCCCATCCCAGCCACTGAGTCCACTTGTAAAGGAGGACCTCACCCCACCACACACATTGCCCGTCCCTTCTTCCTGACCAGCCTTGAGGAGTAATGCAGTCCAGCAGCCCAAACCCAGGCTGGGGGTCTAAACCCCCGAGTTCACCACTTCCACCTCGGACCCTCTAAAGTGAGACCTCCCAGAGCGTTCCTTGCTTATCACTCCCCTCCATACCCTCAAACCCCTCATCTCCCACCCATGGCCTGTGAGAAGGACAATGTCCTTCACAGAGGGGCACTGTGAGGGTGGGGGTGAGGGTCGAGGGAAGGGAGGGGCTAAGTGTGGGAGGCACATCCCAGGAGGAGAGGTCAAAAGGAGCTTGGCAAAGCAGCTGGCGCAGACATGTAGTGGGAAAGAGGGTAGAGCCACTGATACTTAAAGCAGGAACCGGCCGGGCACAGTGGCTTACACCTATAATCACAGCACTTTGGGAGGCCAAGGCAGGTGGATCCCCTGAGGTCAGGAGTTCAAGACCACCCTGGCCAACACGACGAAACCCCGTCTCTACTAAAAATAAGAAAATGAGCCGGGCATGGTGGCAGGTGCCTGTAATCCCAGCTACTCAGGAGGCTGAGGCCAGAGAATCACTTGAACCCGGGAGGCAGAGGTTGCAGTGAGCCAAGATGGTGCCACCGCACTCCAGCCTGGGCACCATAGCGAGACTCCATCACAAAAAAAGAAAAAAAGCAGGAACCCTCCTCCACAAGGAAACCTAAGCCAGCTCCTTCAGCTTGCTGAAAAGGGCACTGAGGCCCAAAGGCCTAAGGACGCGCCCAAGGTCGCGCAGTGAGACCAAGGTGCAGGCCAAGGTCTTGTTCTCAGCCCTTCAGAGTCACTGGTCTTTTTAGTGTAATAAGTATCGTCTGTGGTCTCTGTGGCTGTTAAAGTCAGTTTTCATTAGAGTTTGTCTGGGGGCAGAGTCGCTTGATCAATAATAAACTAGCTTATTCTCTTACCAGAAATTCTGGTCTTGACTCTATTCTAAACATGAAAACATTTTTCCATACTTACAAAACAAATGTCTTTTTTTTTTTGTGGGGGGACGGAGTCTTCCTCTCTCACTCAGGCTGGTGGGCAGCGGTGCAATCTCGGCTCACTGTAACCTCCGTCTCCCAAGTTCAAGCAATTCTCCCACCTCAGCCTACGGGGTAGCTGGGATTACAGGCACACATCACCACACCCAGCTGATTTTTGTATTTTTAGTAGAGACGGGGTTTCGCCACGTTGGCCAGGCTGGTCTCAAATTCCTGACCTCAGGTGATCCATCCACCTCGGCCTCCCAAAGTGCTGAAATTACAGGCATGAGCCATCATGCCCGGCCCAAAACAAACTACTTGAAAGAGTTGTCAACTTTAATTTCTGGCAATATAGTAGATAAGATGATTTTAAAACTCTCATTTTATAAATAAATTTATAAACAACTGAGCAAAGCTCCCTTAGTAATGAGGAAGCTGGTTTTTTATTTTTCATCACTTTAAATTTTTACATTTTTTTTTATTTTTTAGAGACAGAGTCTTGCTCTGTCGCCCAGGCTGAAGCACACTGGCAAGATCATAGCTTAGTACAGCACTGAACTCATGGGTTCAAGAGATCCTCCTGCCTCAACCTCCTGAGTAGCTGGGACTCTAGTCACACACCACCATGCCTGGCTAATTATTTATTTATTGTAGAGATTATGTATTTACTGTAGAGGTCTCACTATGTTGCCTCAGCTGGTCTTGAACTTCCAGCCTCAAGCAACTCTCCCTCCTTGGCCTCCCATGGAGGCAGCCACCATGCCTGGCCACAGCTGGGTTATAATGGATGCTCAGAGATGAGACCTTAGACCGGAGAGATGCAGAGAAGCTGAAACTGGGAACTATACCTACATCCTCAGAGAACCAGTAGAACACTGACAAAATGTGACAGTGAAGATTCTCTGGGCCAGGCATTCTCTGGGCCAGGCGAAGCGGCTCATGTCTATAATCCCAGTACTTTGGGAGGCTGAGGCGGGAGGATCATTTGAGGTCAGCAGTTCAAGACCAGGCTGGCCAACATGGCAAACCTCATCTCTACTAAATATACAAAAATTAGCTTGGCATGGTGGCACATGCCTATAATCCCAGCCACTCGGGAGGCTGAAGCAAGAGAATGACTTGAACCTGGGAGGCAGAGGCTGCAGTGAGCTGAGATCGCGCCACTGCACTCCAGCCTAGGCAGAGACTCCATCTTAAAAACAAAAACAAAAGCAAACAAACAAAAAAAGATTCTCTGTCTTAGCCTAAATTCTAGATATAAAAAAGAATTCTTTTTTTCTTTTTTTTTGAGACGGAGTCTTGCTCTGTCGCCCAGGCTGGAGTGCAGTAGCCGGATCTCAGCTCACTGCAAGCTCCGCCTCCCAGGTTCACGCCATTCTCCTGCCTCAGCCTCCTGAGTAGCTGGGACTACAGGCGCCCGCCACCTCGCCCAGCTAGTTTTTTGTATTTTTTAGTAGAGATGGTGTTTCACCGTGTTAGCCAGGATGGTCTCGATCTCCTGACCTCGTGATCCGCCCGTCTCGGCCTCCCAATGTGCTGGGATTACAGGCTTGAGCCACCGCGCCCGGCCAAGAATTCTTATAAAAAAAAAATTTGTAACCAAGGGCCTACCCTTTAATGGATTTGAAATTTGAATTTTATATCACTTAGTAACCTCCAGTCAATTCTTAAAAACAAACAGTGGTCCCAGGTGGAAAATCTCTGATGAGATTATGTTTAAATGATTATTGACCTAAATAAGGAATTGTAAATATGGGAAAGAACAAGGTATTATCAAAAATACAAAGTAGGCTGGAAAAAGAACTACATCAAACATTTAAAAATAAACATTTTAGTCACTGAAATTAAAAACTCAATGGTTGAGATTAACAAGTTAGATACAGCTAGATAAAGAAGTAACAATCTGGAAGACAGAGCTGAGGAAATTACCCAGATGTATTTTTTAAATGACA